ACAACAACAACAATAATAGATATACAGAAGAGGTTTGCCTTCTTACAAAGGAGGGGGGCAAGCTTTGAAAAATGGGGTGTTTTTCTGCCAAAATGTTTTAAGACTCTTTAGGCACTTCTAGATCAATAATGATGATGATAATAATAATAATAATAATAATAATAATAATAATAATAATAATAATAATAATAATAGATATACAGAAGTTTGCCTGCTTGTAAAGGAGGGGGGCAAGCATTGAAAAATGGGGGCGTCTTTCTGCCAAAATGTTTCAAGACTATATAGGCACTTCGGGATTAATAATAATAATAATAATAATAATAATGATAATAATAATAATAGGTTTGCCTGCTTCCAACGGAATTGAGGGGGGCTTTGAAAAATGGGGGTGTCTTTCTGCCAAAATCTCTCAAGACTCTTTAGGCACTGCAAGATTAATAACAACAACAATAATAATATGCAGAAGAGGTTTGCCTCCTTGTAAAAGGGGCTTTGAAAAATGGGGGTGTCTTTCTGCCAATATGCAAGAAGTGAGGGTAGGATGGTCCATCTTGTGGATGTTGGGTGTTCTTGTCCTTTGCTCTATGGCTAGCAGGGCTACCTTTGGAGAAGTAGATTTTGGAGATTTTGGAGAGGCATGGATGAAGGTTTGGAAGGAAAGGTGATCTGTTTGCTCCCTTCTGCTGTCCTTCCTTCCTTTCCTCCCCCCTCACCAATAAATCAATAAAAGAAATTCAGATTGCAGCAAAAGATAGGTGGGTGGGGGTGTCAAAGAAATGGAGGAATCCAGTCAGCCTGTCCATCTGGGGATCCACCTGGAGGATTCCTCCTTCCTCTCACCATCAAAGTGATCGATTAGTCGTCACAGGATCCTCCTTGGATAGGTTTTTATTTTTCCAATGTTGGGATTGGAGGGAGGGGAAGGGATCCTGGATGAGCCTTGTCTATTCCTCCTCTTGAATGGGTCTCTTTCCTCTCTTTCTCTCTCTCTCCCCCCCCCCCCCCCCCCAGCATCTTTTTCTTTCATTAAAGTGGAGAAGAAAGGAAGGGGGGAGTGTGAGAGAAGGAGAGGTGGAGGGGGGAGAGAAAGGGGGTTGTGGCTTATGTTATAAAGGAGAGGAAAAGGGGGGAAAATATATTAAATGGATTAGAGCATCCTTGGAGAAAGAGGGAAGGAGCCGCCTGTGCCTGAGTTCCTTCTTCTTCTTCTCTTCTCTTCTCTTCTCTTCTTTCTTTCTTTCTTTTCCAAAGTCGAGGCTGTTTCTTCTGAAGAAGGGAAAGGGGCAGAGAGAAGGGAGGAAAGGAGGAGCAGAGGAGGAGAAGAAGGG